GACCCTGATTTCACATTTTCAATGGGTTCAGGGTGTAAATATATAGCTCAAAATTAATTCAATGAATAAAAAATATAAATATTAAATAATAAATAAATACATGATTTTTTTGCAGAGCAGGTGGTATACATTTGTTACTTTATTTTATTTTTTCGTATATAAATATATATTTATCTCACATTTTCTTAATATATTCGCACTCGACAGGTAAATACTCAAGTGGGTATGTAACTTATCCAATCTGTTTTGTGGTATTAAGTGAAAGATATATCGGTAACCAATACTGAATAAAGTGGGTCGCACCGGCGCTTGTCTATAAAACTGAATATGTCGAGTGCAGACTGTAGTCAAGGTCCTCTTTATGCCGACTTAGAGCTTGAAGAGTAACAAGCACTCAAGCGTTGCCTTAGCACTGGCTGGCCAAATCGTTGGCTCTAGGCAAACGAACAGAAAAGCTGCTGACAATATGATTGAAATTGAGTGAATATGCGGTTGACTGACGATTGGATTTGGGGTTCGATTCGCTCTATATTCATTGAATTGGGTCTAGGCGGCCAGCGGTCGTGCTCAGCTCAATCCACTCTGGGCAGTTCAAATGTGTCCTGCATTTTAAGCGACCTGTGGCTGAGCCCGGGCATTTGTTAGTTTTTGTTTAACCGCCTTTGTCACATCATTCTGGCTGTCAGCGGCCTGTGCCAGCTATTCATTGCATGTCTGCGTGTGATTATCACCTGCCAGTCTAAGGCCACATGCCTTGGCCTCACCCGTCTTCCAAGCAGCCGCCCAGTCAACCAGAGTTTTGCTCCTCATTTCCGGCGGATTCGCGTCGCCTGTATGCCATAAATTTTCCTGCCTGTTCGCCTGCTTGCCTGCTGTCGTTGGCTTATCTCTCGCTCCGCTCCAAGACCCCACTAGCAAGTACTCTTGTCGTTATGCTTGCTTTCTTCAGAGCAGCAGCACCACCATCATCACCATCTGCATCACCCATCACCCACCGCCCTCCAGTCGTTCGCCCCTATTTTGTCAGTTTTTCTGCTGTTTAGTACAATTTCCTGGCGCATTTCTCACGCGGGACAAGAAAATAAGAAAAAAAAAAAAGTTTGCGTACATTTTTTCACTTACGATGAGCATGATGAGGCCGTTGATGTGCAGTAAGTCAAAATGTGAGCCTAGTTGATCTCTGCATGCCCAAAAGTGTTGACTCTTCAAGTGGCGCAGCCCCCGACCCAAGAACTTCCAAAAGAATGAAGCACAAAAAGTGCCAGCCACAAGAAATGCCACAGTGAAAGACGAAAAAACAGTTGAGAAACTGGAATAAAAGCAAATTCATATGCGGTGCGTGTAGATGTAGGTGTGTGTGTGTGTGTGTGTGTGTGTGATGGGGTCTAACTGAGTGGGTAGCAAAGAGCCCTGCAGCATCGCCTGGGCGGCTGCCAGGCGGGCATGGCCCAACAATTTAATTGAAACAACCTTAAAGCTGACCTCCACTTGGCACAACGCCAAATCCGACCCTTTTACCAGTGGGCCCTATGTAAATGTAAGTGACGTCGGCAACGGCAGCAATTTGTATGTGTGCCCACCCAACTCTGTATCTCAGCGGGACTGACTGAAAAAGGCACCCAAATGGCTAGCTCATTGAATAGGCGAATGAAAGTTAACTGAACTGGGTTGCCAGCACCCAGTTTTAAGCACTGATTGCGAACCATTTTGTTCACACTCCTGCAATGAATTACAATTACGGTTACGATTGCGGATACAATTGGGTATATGCTCTGTATTCTTATCAAATGAACAAACACTATCGCCAGACGAGTTTAATTTGTCGTGGCCGTAGTGGAAACTAATTAGATCAAAGCCGCCCAGTGTTGGAAAACTTTGTTATTGCCGATCGGATATGGGCCAACTTTTCTCATATTGATACCTCAGAGCCTTCAATTTGAATAAAAGTCCAGCGAACGAGGGTCGTTTGCTAATAGACTTAACACAAGTACGGCTTTGACATTGTTCAAATTCTGGGAATTTATTATACGGGCGTATGCCAAAATTTACTTAAAGCTAATTTAGGCCAAAAATAATCTCATTAGAAGAATTTAAAGACTTGTGGATTGCACACAAGCTTAAAATTTAAAAACAAATAAAGTAGCTTCAACTTTAAGTTGACTTATTTTTTAGCTACATAATGTCTCGAAGATATTTGAAACCAAATACAATATTTCTTTCTTCTCGAGAATGTACACGATTTCCCAGAAACGCACGACAAGCCGGATGCAGCAGGAAAAGTCTAACGAAATGAAATACCTGACGCAGAAGGCAATTTACCTAACAAAATCAGGTATATCTATATATATAAAAGAAAGTTGTGTAAAAGTGAAGACTGCTTATAACTTGATTTGGGCTGAATCAATTTTCATGGTTTTTGATTTGTTGGATTTGTCTCCGCAACGAGTTTAGTATAGGGTCTTAAAAATACTGAAAAAATTTGCCGAATACTTGAAAAACGCGGTTTTTCCCCCAAATNCAACTTGACCGGCGTCAAGAAATGAACACAGCTATGAAAAGAGCAATTCTCCATGATTTGCATGCTTAGAAATTTAAACCAACCAAAACTGTGCAATGGAACGCGTTTGGTGATAAGAAAACTGATGAGCAATGTGATTCACGCGTTGATACTCAAAGGAAAATTTAAAGATGAGGAAGTTCTTATTCCTAGGATTCCGATGAGCTCAACAGATATGCCCTTTGAATTTAAACGAATTCAATTCCCGCTTCGTCTTGCCTTCGCCATGACGATCAACAAGTCACAGGGCCAATCTTTGACTATTTGTGGCCTCAATCTAGAAAATGCGTGTTTTTCTCATGGTCAATTGTACGTGGCATGCTCACGTGTTGGCAAACGATCCGCATTATTTGTTCTTGCACCCGACCAAAAAACGAAGAATGTCGTTTACAACAAGGTGCTTGAATGAAAATCCGATTAATAAATTTATCAGTGTATCCCAGCCTGAACAACATAGCTTTCAACAATTGTTTACCTAGAAATAATATAGAGGGCAATGCAACGTTTGCCGGGCCAGCTAGTATGTTATATATGCTAAATTAACTCTATAATTTAAAAATACAAAATGTTATTAAAATGCCGTCTGCTTTAAGTGATATAGAAAGAAACATGTAACATTCGCTATAGAAATTTAAGAATTTATATGCAAATGTGAATAACCTTCGTATGATGCTCGAACCAGCTTAGAGCAGCGTCTGCGCTCAATTATGGAAAACAAAAGCAATTTCCAATTGAAATCGAGGCAGAAAAGTGTCATTTCGGCTGTGGGGCTATCGCAGGCAGTTCTCCTTGCCAATCTACAGACATTGCCATTGCTATTGGAGGTATAAATTGAGAAATGTAAATACATTCTGTGAATTCAAATGTGGCAACGAGCAACAAATGGCTTTTAGCCAGTCAGCTGCCATTGACTGTGCTGTGCCATTACGTGTGCCTCTTCGTCTGCTTCTTCTTCGTCTTCTTCGTCTTCTTCTTCTTCTTGGCCATTTGTCGAATTTTTTTGGTGAATTGTAATTACATAGAAATAAAACGATTCCACTATGCTTTCAATTTACAACGCTGCTGCTATCACATTCGATATTCTGTTATTTTAATGGAATTGAAAGCTGCACGCTGTCAGCGCGTCGACAACTATCTGTGAATGAATGCCAGTGGAGTCTGAATGAGGTAGCGAGAGCTGCTTTTATGGGCGGATCGGGCATGTGTCAAGGACAAATATTATTAGGCTGTATGCCATACATTTTCATGGCATGAATCCTCAGGCGCCCTTTTTTTTAGAAAGGGAATTTTATGCACTATCATTGAGTGGAAATCGTTAGCCGTCGATAAGTGCGAGAGGTGAGCGAGCCACAC